GAGATTCGGCATTCTCGTCCCCATATACGTTTGGCCGATCCTCGCGTGCTGTGGCGGCGTTTCCTCCGCACGAAGCCGAGACTGCACCTCTCCCCATCCGCGCGGGGAGAGATCCCATGCTGAATCTGAGCCGGATGTGGAACTTGGCGGAGGCGGTTGAGGGCGTGGCAAACCTGCAGATGGCGGTGTATAAGGCCGTGATGAGCATTCAGAGCAGTTTCGATGAAGGACCCCGAGGACAGTGCGTCGCTTGGGCAGCAGAGCTTGTCCATGTTTTATCGCCCGTGTCGGATGCGCCTGCCGGGGTAGCGCCCTTAGCCCGTACTTTCCCCCGCCACGTTCTTGATCTTCACGGGGCTGCTCGGGGCGGGACTCCGGTTGACACGCTTTGCTTCTCCACGCAGCTTCTTCGAGCTATTGCGACGTGCCATCGTTCAATGCTGGAGGCAGAGGGGGTCGGCGTGTATAGCATGTAGCGCGTCGTTTTGAGAAGGAGAACATGCTGGTTGTTAGGTGAACGTTCCCTTGTTTCTCTTGCCGCCGTGATTGTCTCTTCTTGATCAGACAATCGTGTGTTTGACTTGCCACCGCAAACGCGCGGCCGAAGGCCGCCAGCGCGAGCCGCTGGAAAAAGAGAACCAACACGAAATAATGAGCAAAGAGTGCTGACAACAGCCTTTAAGTAGGCACGGAGGGCAGAGGGCAGAGGGACGAGGCCGAGGGCAGAGGGCTAAGGTCTCTCTCTCTCTCTCTCTCTCTCTCTCTCTCTCTCTCTCTCTCTCTCTCTCTCTCTCTCTCTCTCTCTCTCTCTCTCTCTCTCTCTCTCTCTCTCTCTCTCTCTCTCTCTCTCTCTCTCTCTCTCTCTCGCTCTCTCGATCATGCATGTATGTTGGTGAAAGGGTACAAGCATGCAGGGCAAGAATCTGGCCGATAGGCTATCCTAGGCAGGCAACGTGATGGGCGGATAAACCCAGCATGCAAACAAACCCCCAACAAAAAGTTCCAGTTTTCGCCAAGTGGCCCCTGCTATGGCGGCCTGGCGCTACCAGCTTGGCTGCCTAGGTCTTCCCAATCTCCGGCCCTACCCTACCCCCTAGCTCATCGCCGCCTGTGCTTACACTCCTGCAAGGTCATCATCCAGCACCTGCCAGAGGTCCCCCAGGCTCGGCTCCCAAGGGTCCACAGGTGCTTGAGGGAAGGCTGCCTCCGCCGCCATGTTGCTCTTGTTAAGGAACGAAATTGCCTGGGATCGCTGCAGCATGACCGACCAGCGTTGTCGGTAGTGTGCATTGAGGCGGGAAGCAGTAGTAGTGAGCGGTCCCTGCCTGAATCTCTTCCTTGCCGTGGCTACGGCCAGCAGCCTAAGAAACTGTACGGTATCTGTCGCCAGCGCACCGTAGGTCTCAGCTGCAAGGCCGAAAGACCCCACGTAGTCAGGGCGGCCGTCATACAGGCGATGCTTCTTCTTGGAAGCTTCCCTGGCAGCCCACCCCGGCGGCTTCCGCACTCTGGGGTCCCGCTTCTGCAGCACTGGGTCAGTCACTGTAACATCCGTGACCCAGGTCTCCGCTGATTCCCTATCCTGGAACGCCAGGTCTGCCCTCTTGCGGTGGACCGGGGGGGAAAACACCGACGTCTCATGGAAGGTATTGAAGCCCGCCTCCCTTGCCAATCTCAGAGTTGTGTAGACTAGAGCGTTGTGCGTCCTCACTACATCCCCTCCCTCACCACACCGGAGCAGGTGGTTTGCCAGGCTAGTATCCTGGATGTCCGAGTTGTCACGTTTGTAGGGACACTTGACCGTGACTGGTAATGCCAACCCGAGGCGGAACCCGAGTGCCAACGAGAACTGACCAGGGGCAAATGTAAGGTCAGATCTCGTCGGCACAGCGTGTAGCCAATCCCCAGCACCCACTCCCCTCAAACTGACCAACCGGACCCCGTGCCCCTGACCAAGGTGTCTGCTAGCAGCTCCCTGGCCCGTACCGTATTGATGTGCTTGGACAAGAGGAGCTGCAGGTTACCCTGCCCCTAGGGGCCCTCCCGGTAGGACTGTAGTGCTGTCCGTGCCTCTGTCGGCAGCCCCTCCTCCAGAGTCACCAGAGGGTTTGACGCTGGAGGCGGGGGGACCCACTCCCTGGACAGCAGAGTCTCTGCCCGCGCTAACAGCTCCTGTTCCCGCAAGTTCATCTGCTGTAGCAAGTGATGCGCCGCTGTCAGGGACGCAATATACGCCGCTGGTGCCTCAGATACTGGATCAATGATGCTCAGCCCCCCAGGGCGCACGGGCAGAGTCGCCTGTCGCCACAAGAGGCTCTGCTCCAGCTCGCTGGCCGGGATCCGCAGCTTGGCAGCTGTGAGCGCCGCTCCTACCAAAGACTCGCTCCACCCTCTCCACTCATCCCAGTCCAGTGTGCTGCTGGGTGTGGTGCGGAGCAGGTAGGAGATCCTGCGGGAAATGCTGCGGGAGAGGAGTAGCAGGGCGTGTTGTGGGTGCAGCTGCGCGATAAGGGGTACAGGTGCCGATGCTTTAGAGAGCGCCTGTCGGATCTCAGCAGTGCAGAACTCCGGCGTGCCGATGGGGCTGCCAAGCACCCTGATCCCCCCCGTACTCATCCGCAAACCATGTGGCAGTCCCCTCTGGCCCTCGTCGCCCTCCCGTGGTCCCCATGTTGATGACTTTGCCACGTTGCACCGTAGCCCACGCCTCGCCAGCCCTATGACGATGGCGTCGAAGGCCTTGAACGCCTCCTCCTGAGGCCCCACCACTGTGATGTCGTCAGCGTACGCTATGACAGCCGCTCCTGGGTGAGAAGATGCCACACACGTCAGGGTCGGTTGAATCGCCGCTGCAAAAAGGAGGGGACCGAGGGGATCGCCCTGGCGCACACCGCGGGAGCTCATGATGTGCTCGACTCCTAGGGCCGGGTCAACTAAAAGACACGAGGGCGAGTCATACAGCAATCTGACAAACGGCAGTAGCTCGTGCAAGTCCGAGATCTCTAGCGCCGTGAAGAATGCCTCCCGCTCAACCGAATTAAACGCGTTTTCTACGTCTAGCTGAAGCGCGACGTAGTTGTCGTGTTCTCGTAGTAGGGCCCGTACAGTGTGAATGACGCATTCGGCCCCACCTAGCACTGACACGCCATACTGGACGGGTAGGAAGAATTCGCGAATCGCTGGGGCTAACTCGCGTAATGCCGCCTTCGCTGCCACTCTAAGCAGGGCCTCCCCTATAGCGATTGGTCTTACGCCCCCCCTGGCTTCGCGAGTGCTATTAACCGTGACGGAAGGAGTATGTCGCGTATTTCTCTTGTCTGTGCGCTGTTGAGTAACTGACGAATGACTTTGGTGAGGAGCAGTAGAAGTTGCTCGCTGCTGTGGGCCGGGTCCTTCAAATGCTTGAAACAGGTGCCGGAGGGCCCCGCACCAACTCCGTTCGGGCACTTCGCGAGCACTTCGCGGACATCGCCTGGGGTCAAATTCAAAGACGAAGCAGGTACACCCACGCGGTTGGTTACCCAACTTGGGATTGGCAATCCCCCGGCAGGGTGTTTCGCCTGTAAGGCAGCCAGTGTAGCAGGTGTTGGTTCCGCCAGCGGGGTCACTTGTAACGAAGACAAAGCTTTCGAAATGTTGGCTTTTTTTAATCAAGCCCTCTGCGCATGCACACAGTCCCGCCTCGTCTGGCTGGTGTCGTGTCGGAGCTCCAGTATCGGGGATCGCGCATGCCTCCCTGCAGAGATCAGCGAGATCCCCGACCCTGAAGTGGTGCAGCCGAGTCTCGATCGTGATCCAGCGGTTCCCGTCCACCGGCTCTAGGGGAGGACGAAGGGTCAAGCGGGGCAAGAACCGCAGCACGGTCCACGCCCCCACACAGTCCGGTTTCTCGGCCAATCGCAACAGTGGTGCCAGAAGGCACAGGGTGTAGCTCTCCAGAATTTTTGGGGGCAACCGCCTGACCAGGAACGGTTGATCCACACGCTAGAGTGGTGCGATGTCCCAAGTGCTAGCCAGGTGCCAAATAGATTCATCCTTTGCCAGGTCAGCGGGCGATTTCTCGGATGGCTGGGGTGGCATAGCCGAGCTCCGGCCCGCTGGCATGTTGGGAGGGTGTGGCATACCACCCTGCTCCGTCCTCCTCACTCGCCTCTGCGCCGTCGCCTGCTGATTCTCTTCGACACCCAGAGAGATCTCCTCCTCCGATGCCTCTGAGTGCGACGGGATAAAGTGTCGCTCCCATTCTGGGAGTTTCCCGAACCCCCCTCGCTCCCATCCACGGTCGTAGTTGCACGCTCTGGGCGGTCGTGGCGATCACGCCACGTGCCTGATCTCGCAATTGCAGCCTCTCCTCCCAAGAGTGGAACTCCCCCCCCGCGTGTCCCTCTCCTTCCCCCTCTGCCTCCGCGGGGAACCGCGGAGGGTACGCCAGCGCTGCCGCCTCTCGCGCTTTCCTGCGCGGGCCTTAAACCCCTACCAGCCGGCACCCAGGGGGTCGTCATTGTCGCTCGTCCCGCACTCGACGGCCTGCCCCACACAATTCCCCGGCCCCTCGTCGAGCTCCGTGTCTCCCGGTGAGTTGCTTGTCAGGTCGAGGGTGAACCGTCCGTTGGTTGTTGCATCCGGAATGGCTGTTCGGCTCCCTGATGTGCGTGACCAGCCACATTTGTGGTACCCCTCTCGCCTTGTCCCGTTGCAGGCTGTGGTGCGGATGACAACAAACGTGCTTGCTCTGGTAGCGACTGCCCTTGCCGAAGCCAGCCCAGGAGGGGTCCCGGGACCCCAGGTCCCAGCCCTGCTCCGGGTCGCCTCGGCGCTGGCTGGGCGCGCAGCTTCACCTTCCTTCTCGCCGGGGCGGCGCCGGAAGCGGCGCCGATCACGGGAGCCCCGATTCCGTCCGCCGGCTGGCCGCGCTCCAGCGTGTTTACGGCCACGGCAGCAGCAGGCATTCCGGCGAACTCAGCGGCAGTCGGCGCAGACGGTTCGTTCGGGAGTGGTACTCATTGCCTCGCTGCCTCAGCTACGACCACCGCAATCTCCCGCTCCCCGAGAGTTGACGGGGACGTCGCCACCACTGGCGCCGGTGAGCCAGCCAACCCCCGCTCCACCTGTGCCTCTTCTGCAGCCAGATCCCCATCCGCTGTTGGCGCCGTCGACACTGCAGGCTGCAACGCAGCGGGCACGAATGAGTCGTCGCCAGAGGCGGCTGCAGGCGCAGCTGCAGGCAAGTGCGTCTCCCGCCCCACCCCCGTCGAATCATCCTCAGCAGCGACACCCGGCTCCTCCTCCCACATCAAACCCGGCCCCGCCACAGCAGCAACCCCCGGTGAACCAGTTTCCTCTACACCTGCCCCAACTGCATCAGCCGTCGGCTCCTCTTGTGCCGCCGCTCCCTCCTGCCCCACTAGCTCCTCCTGCCGCTGCCCCTGTAGGCGCGATGCCTCCCCACGTCGAGCAGCGCGTTGTGCACGTGGGGACGTGCCTGACGTTGCTGTCATACGTACTGGACCAGCTCCACCTGTGTTTGGCACGTCAAGGCTTGGAGGTTGGGGGGATGTTGCCCGCGGAACGGTCCGCGGCGGTGGCCGCAGCGACGGAGATGCTGCACTAACTTCCATTGATCGGCCTCGTGCCGGGCGCCCCTGGTGCAGCGCTCGGGCCCGGACCCCGGACAATGGTGAGGCTAGCTGAGTCCGCCCGGGAGGGCCCACTCGGCCTTGTATCAGCTGCCGCTTCCGTCCTGCGTTGGATGGACGGGAGGCTGTGCTGGATCCTCGCCGAGTGACTGGTGTTTTCCCCTTGCAGGCTCCTGTGGTGCTTGGCCTTGCCTTGGGCTTCCCCATGGCGGAATTCCCTCGCCGGGGGGTATTGTTCTTTCTTAACCTTGCTAGTGGCCCGTTATGTATTGAATGCTGGTGAATGGCTTGTGTTGCTTCTCCCCTTGCCACCCCTCACGCGCAGCCGCAGGCCGCGCAGGCGAGCGGCGGCCGCCGAAGGCGGCCGGCGCGAGCCGCCGGATTTGGAGAGTGATCCTAACTCACCGGTGAATAATGAGCTCCTTAGCCTAGATCCAGGGCCTTTATACTAGGGAAACAGGCCTAGAAATGGCTAAGGACTAGATCCTAGAGAAGAGAGGCCTAGGAACGGCTAAGGACTAGGACTATGCCTCTCTCTCTCTCTCTCTCTCTCTCTCTCTCTCTCTCTCTCTCTCTCTCTCTCTCTCTCTCTCTCTCTCTCTCTCTCTCTCTCTCTCTCTCTCTCTCTCTCTCTCTCATCTCTCTCCTCTCATCTCCCTCATCCCTCTCTCATCGAACTGATCTCTCTCATCCCCCCTTACCTCTCTTATCCCCACTCCTCTCTCATCCCCCTTAACCTCCCCCCCCCCCCCCCCCCCTACAGCAAAAAGTGCTGCAGGGAGAGAGGAAGAGGGAAGGGGGGGGGGGGGACGGGCTGCTGATGGTTCACACCCGCCAACCCCACATCCCCCCCCCCCTCACTTGTGAAACCACGGAATAAAGGGTGGGGTGGGGGGGTTGGGGCAGCATTAGCTGCTGCCGGCATTGGCGCTGGCGTTGGCACAGGCGTAGGCGCTGGCGTTGGCACTGGTGCTAGCGCTGGGCGTAGGCAATGGCGCTGGCGCTTGCGTTCCGTGCTGGCGCTGGCCGTAGTCGCTGGCGCTGGCCGTAGTCGCTGGCGCTGGCACTGGTGCTGGCGGTCTGCGCTGGCGCTTAAGACGGGCAGGGCGACGGGCGTGACGGGCTCGACGAGCGGGGGACACGACGGGCATGACGGGCAGAGCGCAGGGCGACAACGGAATGGGACTGGCAGGCGCTTCGGACGCGACCGGACAGAGCGCGAAGGGCATGATGGGACGGGACGGGTAGGCGCCTCGGGCGCGACCGGCGACGGAAAAGAAAAGGAAAAAGAAAAAGAAAGAAGAAAGAAAGAAAAGAAAAGAAAAGAAAAGAAAAGAAAGAAAGAAGAAAGAAGAAGAAAAAAAAAAAAACGCATTTCGCGATGCAACGTGGGCGGGCACATGGTTCGTAAAAGAAAGGAAGGTTCTAGGATAGAACCTGCTCTGATAGCATGTCAATAGTAGCTTAGGAGGCTAGGGTTTTGGGAAAAGAGAGGTGGCCAAGAAAAGAGGGTTGCACTAACATTGGAGGTACAAGATATAGGATGAGGGGAGGTGGTGAAGGGAGGTACACCACCAAAGAACAAGATATGGTGATACTACACTAACTAACTAAACATGCAATTATATAAGTAACACATTCTAACATTTTGAGGCGCCTCAAAAGTTTTGTTCTGCTTCATGCTGCCCTTTTGAGGCGCCTCAAGAGTTTTGTTCTGCTTCATGCTGCCCTTTTGAGGCGCCTCAAGAGTTTTTTTCTGCTTCATGCTGCACTTTTGAGGCGCCTCAAGAGTTTTGTTCTGCTTCATGCTGCACTTTTGAGGCGCCTCAAGAGTTTTGTTCTACTTTATGCTGCACTTTTGAATCTAAAGAAACGGGGGAGCACCATCGGCAGCCCCACCAGAGTGCATGTGGCCCCACTTGGGACCTTGCTGGACTTCACAGGGTATCACGTCACCCACCTGCAGTGTGCCTCGTATGTGCAGCCAAGCAACCCCTCAACAAATAGCTCGACATGGTCTCTGTTGTGCAGCAAATGTCCTAGTGGGTAGTTTTTCACCTTTGGTCTTAGAGGTCGTGGATTCAACTCCCAACAGCTACACTTTACATTCTCATTATGCTCACCATGTCATGTCCACACTTTACCACACTCATTCATAATGAAGTGTGATCACAGTTGGCATTGCCATCTGTCCACTCATCCCATGCTCACCTTGCTTGTGAGGATCTGGTTCAGGAAAGATGATTCTATTGAATGATTCACCTGGGTACAAGGCAAGGCTATATATAGGCTCGACACAAAGGCAGTAACCCGGGTGTTACTAGAAGGTTCCGCGGGTCGCGAAGCGTCCCGAATGGGTCCTTCCCGAATTCGGTAGAAGGCAATTCGGTGGCAACCGAAAAGCCTAGAATTCGGTGCACTCAACCTAGTTCGGTGCCTACAACTATAATAACTATAGTAAAGGCAACGAATCTAGGAAATCAAGCAAAAGCATGCAAGATAAAATAAAGCTAAGCTAGTAATAACATAATAAAGTCCAGGCAAGCTAGCAAAGCCAGCATAAGCCGTCGTACTCTCACACGTCCCCCCCTCAAAGCTGGGTGGCGTGAGAAACACCCTGCTTGACAAGATAGTCCTTGAGAGCACGGCGTGCGTTGCCCATATCAACTTCTGCAACCCAACTGTCCTCCGATGGGTCATCTCCACTCCAGCGTATCAGGAACTCGAGCGTGTTGCCGCGTCTGCGTCGATGAGCGAGAACTTTTTCCACCTCGTACTCTGGTTCATCCTGTATGAGAACAGGTGATGGTGGCGGTAGCTGGCGTCCCTGGAACTGTTGGTTGGGGTCCTTGTAGGGCTTTTGTAGCTGAACATGGAAAGCGTTGTGAAGCTTCCACGTAGTAGGTAAGCGCAAGCGGAATGTTACTGGTGTCACCCATGCCTCAATGCGAAAAGGACCACAGAAGCGAGGCCGGAGCTTGGACGGTAGGTGAAAAAGGTTCAAGTTGTGCATGTCAAGAAGCACCTGATCTCCGACTGCTACTGAGTGATCACGTCGCTGGCGATCGGCATACTGCTTCTGGGAGTTCTGCATCATGGAAAGACGTCGCTGAGTCTTCTCCCATAGCTGCTGCATGGTGGTGACGAAGTCGTGTGCGGCTTGGACGTGTGCCGGTGTGGTTGGCTGCTGTGGTGTAAGTGGTTCCCGTCCGTAGCACAGGAAGAATGGAGATTTCCCTGTGGCCGCATGCGACGCGTGATCGTAAGCGAACTCAAGTGTCGGTAACTGTGAATCCCAGTGGCTGACGTCGTCTTTGCAAGCTGTGTGCAGTAACTGTTCAACCACCTGATTGAGTCGCTCTGTCTGTCTGTCAGTCTGGGGGTGGTACGCTGAAGACATCGCAAGCTTTGTCCCCAACAATCCCATGAGTTCCCTCCAGAACTTACTAGTGAACTTAGGGTCTCTGTCCGAGATAAGTGTAGCGGGGATGCCGTGGATGGTGATGATGCGGTCGAAGAAGAGGCGAGCAGTTGCTTCAGCAGTAGCCGTGGCGTTGGTCGGGATGAAGTGTCCCATTTTAGAGAACTTATCGATCACCACGAGTATAGCGTCATGCCCTCGTGAGGTCGAAGAAAGCCCAGTAATGAAGTCTAGGCTGACAACTTGCCATGGCTGCTCCGGTACGGGTAGAGGCTGAAGTAACCCTACTTTTTTCTGCTTGCTACTCTTCATCTGCTGGCACGTGTCGCATGAAGTGACGAACTGCTGCACGTCTGTTGCCATCCGGGGCCAGTAATAATACTTTGCTATTCCCGCTAACGTCTTGTTGCTCCCGAAATGTCCCGCGTATGCCACATCGTGAAATTCCTCCAGTAAGATCTGTCGGAGCGGGGCATAGTTCGGTACCCAAATCTTTCCTGATCCCTTTCTTACAGCTAGGTCCTTCTCCCACTGTAACAGCTTCTGTTTCTCTGCTGTAGTGAGTTCTGCTTCCACCACGTAGTCTCTGTCTGGATTCGGTAGGATGAGTACTGGCGCTGTAGTCAGTGCTGTCTGTAGCTGCTCCATGGCTTGCTGATGAGGAGTATCCCCTGTATCCGTCCACCTTCGCAGCTTCACACGTTTCCTGTTATTGTAGATACACGCCTTCCGGTTGACCCAGTCGATCTCGGGGTTGAACCGCTTCAGAAAATCACGCCCCAAGATGAAATCTAATCCCTTGATGTTCGTGATTGGGAACGTCGTCTTCCACCTTAACGCTCCTATCTGCAGCTGCAGTGTTGACTCGCCGTGGATGGGAAGCTTCGTACCGTCCACCATCGTTGCTGTAAACTGGGTCTCTTCTAAGGATCCTTCAATTTTCTCCAACGTCCCGCAGTCGCACACCGAGTGGGACGCACCACTGTCCACCAGTGTCTGGAGGCGTCGTCCGTTGCAGATCACCTCGAGTACTAGTGGCTGTTGCTGCTCCGAGTAGCCGTAGATGGTGTTGCTTACAGGATCGTAGGGTACGTCGAATATGTCATCCCTAGGTCCTGCGCTCGAAGATGCAGCTTCAATATCAGGTATCACCTGAGTAGGGTTAGAAGGATTTATCCGAGGCTGGTACAGCTTCTCTTGAGCCTGGAACCTTCCCCTAGGCCTTTGCAGCTGTGTAGGCTTCATCTGTGGGGAACAGGGAGCCTTTAAACAGAGCTGCTGGGAGAGAATATTAACTCCTCGGAACGCTCGACCCTTGTTAGCGCTCCGGAGTAGGGTCCCCATATTACCCGGTACCGGTTTAATTTCTGACTCTCCCTTAATAAAGGCTTGAAACCCACGAGAAGTAATATTCTTACTTGTCGGGGTGTACGGCTGGAGT